GCGGGGATGGGGATGGGGAGGGGGTCCCCGCCCCCGTGGGGACCCGTTGCCATCCTTACTCCCCTTTATGACTATCCACAAGGACAAAGCACAATATCTTCTTTTGCAAATTCCAATTATTGTCAATAAAGTGAGCAGTGAGAGACATATAAGAGATTTTATTTTGTGAAGTCCATGTATCTGTAGTTAAAGAGACTCTCATCTTCCTATCCTTAAAGAATTTGGACAAATCATCTCTAAGGTCACAATATAAAGCAAGGATATCTCTTGTGATAGTTCTCCTAGATGGAGGCTTAAAATGTGGTGGAAGACATACTTTACAAAAATGTAAAAATCCTTCTTTTTCAACAAAAATGAAAGGTAAACTCATCTAAAATATTCATCAAAGCAATTGCCTTCCTAGCTGCCACTCCATCAAACTTCCACTGTCCTAAATGCACTGCCTCACCTCCATCAATAGTTGTAAACTTTGTCAACTTCAATTGTGCTTGTTTTTTCAAATTTTCTGGATTTAATTTGCATCTAGTTATATGTTTCTTAAGGCCTGAAGTCCCATTATTTGAAGAACAAGCTCTTATGACAGCACTACACCATTTACACCTCCCCTTTTGTTTCCCATCAAGACCAATAAAGCACACAAAATATTTCTAAGCTTCAGAAGTTTTACCCCTTGGTTTTCCTTGAGTGCCTTGAGGTTGAGATTGTTCATTGACCTCAGGAGGTTGATTCTTCTGAGAAACTCTTCCCCTTTTTTTAGTTCTATTTGTTGTGCTTTCTTTAGCTCTAGTGATATTCCCCTCGTTGCTTTTACCAAGACTATCATCAATATCATCTTCCTCATCATCTTCCTTTTCCTCCTCTTCTAAGTCTTCTTTATACTCCTCATCATCTTGCTCCGTTTGCTTTCCTTTGGTCTTTTGCATTTCTTCCATCCTTTTCTCATGGCTTTCAAATTCTTCCTCCAAATCATATCTTAGTGGAGATGCCTAAGCATTAAAAAATATTGCAAGAATTTAAACATTAATTAATAGTACGTAAGATAGGGAGGGAACATAAGAAATTTAATGTATATGCAAAGTATATATATACCAAAGAATTAAATTCAGATAGTTGTTCTCCTCTTGGTGCTCCCTCTATTGATTCAGAAGGGTAACTATTCATTTGAATTCTTGAAGTTGACATCATTTATAGCATTCTATATTTAAAATAGAAAAGACATGTCAATTGTCAAATAAAGGAAATAGAAACTAAACGGAAAGATTCAAAGAACAAAAGTAAATTAATTAACTAAAAAGAGGGAAATAGAGCAAATACTTATGACAAATAGAGTAAGTAGAAACTAAATAGAAAAATTCAAAGGAAAAAAAGCAAATAAACCAACTAAAGAAAGAAAAACAGAGCATATATCAATTATGTTGACATTAAAAATTTGACAAGTAAAAAGACTTCTAAAGTTCTAAATTTGAAAATCTTCAATGTCAAATGAATAAAAATAAAAGCATTGGCATAGTGGTGGGCCATTTGCACATGGATGGATGGACCCATTTGGCTTCTTGCAAGCAATTATATAATTTATTGTCCTCCTTCTTTTTCTTTAATCACATGGTCTTCCGTCTTTCTTCACAAAACCCCATTTTTCAAAGATGAGCAAAATACTGTTGGCTTTTCCTTCTAATTTGGCAGAAGAAACACATATAAAAAAGTAAAGCCTCAAAGTAGCATCACAGAGATAGAGCATGGTATGCGATTCTCTCACAATCTCACTTTCTCATCTTTTCCAACTTGTCTTCTCAACTCTCATTTTCCCTATACTCTCTCTGTTTCTCTATTATTTCAATTTTCAAGTTTTGCAAGAATAAAACTTCCAATCTTTTAAAATTTTGTTTGGATTCAAAGCAGTTGAAAGGGAATTCTTTAAGAATTTGCACATCACATTCATACCCATTTTTTGAAGAAAGATCAAGCAAAGTGTGTACTATTCTAGTATTCTGGTTTCTAGACTTACTGGTGGTTGCATTTGGTCGTCGGTTACAGTGCCAGTCGTCGTTGTTGCCTGCTCGCAATTGTAGAGTCATCGTCGGGGTGAGAGGAGGAAACCGTAGACGAGCGCAGTCGGTAGAACCATAAAAGGTAGACCAACTGATAAAAATATTAAGGGTTTTGCCTTTTAACGAGGACTGTTTTGTATTTACAATTAAATTAGAAATATTTAATTATTTTAATTTTTTAATGAATTAATTTATAAATATATTTAAAATATTTAATTATAATATACGGTGTTTGGTATGGTATTCGATATTCGATATTTTAAAGTTAGAATCCGAATACCGTCCCAAAATATTAATTGGTATCATTTTTATACCGATATATTGTTCTTATCGGTACATGTCTTGCTACCGATTCTCAAAAACTCGGTACATACCGACGGGACATTACAATTTCCTGATTTTTGTTCACCTCTACTATAAACCTGTAGCATCCTGGGGGCAACATGCTATATATATCTCTGCTGCACTGGTTGATTAACTCTCCACAAAGGCATGAGTTGCCTTAAAATAAGTAAAATTTTCATGCCTATTTTGATGATATTTTTTTATCGATATTTTTTTATAAGTTCATTAATTATTTATTTTTTTTATTTTATGGCCAAGACACAACAATGACATAATGTGGAGATAGAGTAGAGTGTTTGAGGAACAACAATATATACACTGTAATAAATATTTCCATACTACAAATTATGTTATCAAGAGTGTTGGAGGCCTAGTGGTAATTTTCTTCGTTTGAATCTTCTTTGGTACGCATATTATATGGCAATTTAATGCAATGCAAATCTTGAACTGGTTGGCCAGTCGAGTCATCAGTTTGTATTGGTTCGTATACCTAACTGGATCGAACTTATGATTGGTTACTAGCCCAGTTTGTAAGGAAATACACTGGAACATTAATATCGTATATTTTTGTGCTTAATACTGCCATCTCTTTGTTTTTTTTTTTTTAAAAAAAAAAAATTGTATAATATATTAAAAAAAAAGGGTCTAGACTACTCAGCATCTTGCCTATGCACGCCTAAACAGTAGGCAATTGCTCAATCCAACACTGCCAAGCGTTTTCCACAACACCAGTATAAATCAAAATAGTCAAATCCATTTTGTACTAGCCGATATGGCTGCTACATACCGATTTTTAAATTAAACCGAAATAATATAAAGTTAAAATTTGTTTCGGTCAAATTTTGATTTTTTCAATCAAATTCTGGTGTACTTGCCAGTATTTTGGTTACGGGGCCGGTGCACCAAAATCACAAGGGACAATTCAATTCTTAAAAGAAAAAAAAAAAAGCAAAAAGGCAAATCAGCCCCTATACTCAGTGAATGGTGGCAAATTAGCCCCTGTATTCAGTGAATAGTGGTAAATCAATCCCTCAACTAAAAATAAACACAAATTAGCCCCTCAACATTTATAACAATAAGGTGGTATTTTTTATCCTACATCAGCATTGAATTGGTACTAATTAGTAATTTATATTAAGATTTTTTTTAAAGTGTATTTTTTTAATATTTTTATTATTAATTTA